AAGTCTCATGCTCACCAAGGCTGCACTTATTTGAAGAAAAAAAACAAAAAAAAACGTAAAAGCAGCAATATTGAGAAATATAACAATTAAAAATAACTATTTTCTATTTTAATATATTTTAAAATGTAATTTAAAATGTATCTGTGATCAAAGCTGAATTTTCAGCATCATTACTCCAGTCTTCAGTGTCACATGATCCTTCAGAAATCATTCTAATATTTGCTGCTCAAGAAACATTTATTATTATTATTGCATACATATTTGTGTGGAAACCGTGATGCATTTTTTCAGAATTAATTTTATATATAGTAACAATGTAATGTAATGTAATAATGTGGCTTAAATAATGGTTTCTTAAGATCTACTTACTCTTCTGATGCTTTTGGGAAATGCAACCCTATTTGAACAAGCACTCTGAGCCATGTGTCAGCAGCGAATGTAATGTAATGTAATAATGTGGCAATGGTTTCTTAAGATCTACTTATGCTTCTGATGCTTTTGGGAAATGCAACCCTATTTGAACAAGCACTGTGAGCCATGCGTCAGCAGCGAACGCTGTCTGTGATTGATTGGTTCTGTCTTTCAGCATTTGCGTGTGTTCCGATGAACAGGAGAAGATAGTTCTACTATTATCTACGATATCTACTATCCGATGGTTCTGTCCTACACAATTGTTCGCTAATATAGTCTATTTTGCCACGTAGAAGCTTATTTTATGCACCGAATTTCTTGATAAGTAAATAAAATTAATGGTTAAAAAATGCACTTTAGAATCTATATTTTTATGTGAGGATTGATCCTTTCGATACAACATCAGTATCGAAAGTATCGATACTTAAGGATCGATCCGCCCATCCCTAATCTCTAGTTGAGTTGACACAGAATGATCCTACTGTATCATTTAAAATCTGTTAAAATAATGACTTTGTAACGAACCAGTCCACTGAAGGCGAGCGTAGTGAGAACTCAAGTGCAGTTTTATTTACAGTGATCCAAACATCATCCAAACTTGACGAGGCATGAACAGATCTGACGAGGCACAAACAGATTAGACTCACCGACAGCGGGTTACAACTTCAATACACGATGAAGCAATGGCAACATGATGGCTACTTATAGCAAACAAGAGGGTCACATGGCAAGAACAACCCAATGGGAAACAAGACACATGACTAGGACAACCAATCAGAACATGACACATACACAAGGCAGAGATGCATGAGGGCAAGGGAAGCATGACACTTGTTTTCACCCTGTTGCAATCCACAACAGGGTGAAACAATTACAAAATAAAAGACATGAGAACATGAAACAAAACCCAAACACCAAACCCCACATTACATATCCCCCCTCTAAGGGCGGCTCCAGATGCCCAAACAAAACCCAAAAAGTCCAGGAGGGTGGTGGAGTGGAGGCGGAACTGGGAGAGGGATGGAGGGCCAGGCCCGTGAAGAGGAACAGGCAGAGCGGGGAGCCATG